AAATGATACTTTAAGTTATACAATATTTAAGACGTCTCATTTGGACCACAGTACAATAAATCACGTCGATGCAATGCCCACACAAGTGCCGAACGTCGATCATCATATACCAGCCATCGATGCTGTGCAATCATCGTTCGAACGACCCGTATCCGTGCCAAGTTCAGCTCCAAGTCGTTTTATTCCGTCTAAACAAAATTCGCTCGTTGATGAAACAAAACTGCAATCAGTCATGGTAAGCGGCGAACTTATCTTTTACATATTGAATGCAACGACTCAACTCATTTCTAAATGTTGATCCTTGTAATTGTGTTGTACGGCATTTTCTGTGGTGACTGTGAATGTTCACTCATTTTATATCGTTGTGAAACTGAGCCGCTTAAACATGATGATCATTGGTAGCTGACATTTTGCATGCCTTCTGTGAGAATGATAAGAGAGGTTGTTTCTCATTATTATTTCATTACTCTTCAAATGTTGTTATTGGTCGGAGCAATAGCACACAATATAATGATCGGTTATATGAAAATAGATGTTCGTCCATTCGATCCATATGGAATCATTATAGTTTAAGTCAAGGCAGAAAAAAAAAAGTGCCCATTTAGTGCCCATCCAATATAGATAAGCACTTTCAGTGGACTGATCTGTCGAGCGAAAGCCCTGCAAATCTTGAAGTAAGTTTCAAATCAGCACTGCAAATATTGAAGTTTCATACTGTTTGGAATCGTTTGTCCTGAGTGAGGCGATCATTTAGAGTTGCAATAAATTACGAAGAACTACCAGCAAAGAAATGCTTCTTTTGAATTTAGTGTTCAAAGTGGTTGTGCCGTTTTGCAATGACTCTATGTGCATTGATCTATGTAATTTGTATTGCATCTTATTGTGTTGCATTTTGCACTTATCAGCGGAACTTGTTTATTTAGCTACATGATTGTGAAAAAGTTAATCAAGGAATGGAATCGTCTCACTCAAAATCAAATGAACAACCGGAGTCGGTTAGTGTGACCCAGTGCTTTATTATGCTTATAAAACGTTTGTTTCAAAGTAATCTTCATGTTAGTAAATTTGTCAGTAATAAATGAATCATGTGGGTGTCTTAAAAAAGAAAGAAATGAATCCATCTTTCTCGACTCTTCAGACTTATTAAAATCAAATCTTTCAGACTCCGAAAGTCTCGGAGAACTCATCGCAAGATCTGGCTTCGGTGTCGAATGTGTCCACTCTTGCTACGATTCGTCATAGAGCCGATGATGCGATGACACAGGAAGATCGCATGGTATCAGACGAACAGTTGGCTTGCAGTAGTGTGAGTAATGCAGATGACGAGCATATGCCATCAGTTAGAGTTGCTTCGAATACTCAAGACGGAACAAACAAATATGAAGAAAACGATGAATCTGAATCGCATAACATCGCTCCTGAAGAGTTGCATTCGATCAACGAGCACAATGCAGAAATAACGATTCCAGTAAACGATTCATTGAAAACACCAGAATATTTATCACAATCGCAACATTCTTACGAACGTTTATGGAGTAGTGATAGCGCAAGTAGGCTGATTTCTAGCAGAGAGCATTCTGTTGCTAATGCAGATCAGCGGAAAGCATTCGGAAGTAGTCATGATTTAGTTCAGGAAAGACCTGATGGATCGGTAAGAGAGCCACATCCTGATGAAGGCGATGAACAACGGGTACGACAAAAGCTCCGAGATAAGCGGTGGTCTGCAGAGAAAGCCAGTTTCGAGAAATGGAAGCGCAAAAACGATGAGGATATGATGAAGCGGAGGGAGGAAACTGGCAAATCTGGCGAGTCTGAAGGCCGAGATCGGGAACTGATGAAGGGAATTGAAAAGCCGGATGATCCGGATCTGGAGGGAGGGCGAAGAAAGGTGGAGTCTAGAAAGTATAAAGAGAATAAACATAAAGAATTGGCTGGCTATTCATTTAAAAGCCTGGATCCAGTGTTAAAAATTAACTCGAATGAAGCGGATAGTCGGGACTTTGAAACAGATAAGAGAAAAGGAAAGAGCAAAGGTTTTGAAGAAGATGAAAGCGATAAGTCACCAGAGGATTCAGAGATGATTAGAGTTGAGGAACAGTCGAGTAGTGTTGAGAATGTTTGGGATAAGAGGGAAGCAGGACACGAACGTTCGGAAGATCAAATTAGAAGGAAGGAAAGGAAAAGAATTGAATCAGAAGGAAAGTTGAAAGAAGGAAAAGTTGTTGAGAGGAGGAAAGAACATGATAAATATTCAGTTTCAAAAATGGAGCAGGAACGGAAAAGAATGAAAGTGGAAAAAGGTTATCGTTATCGTGAGAAAGATGACCGCGATGGAAGTTCCGTAGGAAGTCCCACAAGAATGGAAAGTAATAGTGAAGAAAATGAGGTTTCAAAGGAACCGGAGGAAGAGGTTAGAGGACAAAGTATTTGTAGAAAAGAGAATCTCGAAGGAGGAAAGCGAATTAAAAAGGATGTCGAGAAAAGGGCCAAAGAAAAGGAGAAAAGGAAAAAGGACGAGTTGGAANAAGGAAGAAAAACGCCGAAAAGAAGTCGAAGAAGAAGCACGCAAACGTGAATTTGAAAGACAAAAAGAAGAAAAACGCCGAAAAGAAGTCGAAGAAGAAGCCCGCAGACGTGAACAAGAAGAGATGGATAGGCTTCAAAGGGCAGAAGAAGCTCGGAAAGTAGCTGAAGAGAAAGAGGCGAAGCGTAAAAAAGATGAAGAAGAAGAGGCAATCAGAAGGCATCGAGAACAGATAGCTAAACTTGATGAGGAACGTCGTAGACTTGAGGAGGAATTTCGGAAAAGGGTTGAGAAGAGAACTAAACTGGCAGTTGAGGATTCTGAGCGGAAGAAACAAAAACCTGAATCTTTAGGTATCGATGAAGATAAAAGAAAAGAGAAAATATTGGAAGCAAATAGCGATGACGGCAAGATTGTAGTGGAACGAAGTATTGAGGATCTTTTCGGTGATTCAGAATCGTTAGCCCAAGAGCAACCAGAAGACATACATGACATTCGCGATCAGCCGAATAGTCGTGAGTTTGTGCAAGAGGTGATCTCCAATAAAGATGAAGAAGACATAGCGGATGATAGCGCAGATCCAGTGCTTTCCACAAATGGGGCGACTTATTTGGATAAGTCCGCATACGATAAAGCAGATCGGAAAGATGGGAGATCGCAAGTAAAACTAGAAGAGAGAGATACTAATGAGACAAATAAACAAAAGGATTCAACAGTCACTGAGAAAAAAAAGAAAAGGTTGGGCAATTTCCCGCAAAGTGATAGTCGATTGCTTGTGGATGGGAAAGAACGGAAAGTGGGCGAGGAAAGCCAGCTTAAATCGTCATCTAAAGCTAAGTCGTCATCTCAGAAGGATAGAGAGGATAGGGCCAAGGAATCGACGGCAGCGGATCCTGAAAAGAGAAAGAAAGATCGTGGTGAAAGGCTGAGGAAAGAACAAGAAGAGATACAGAGGCAGCTGAAGGAACAGGCGGAGAAAGAGCGCAAACGGGCAGTTGAACGAGAAAAACGACGTCGAGAAGAACGGGAGGGAGTTGAACGCGAGGAACGAGAAAAACGCCGTCGCGATAAGGAAGATGAACGAGAGAAGTACCGAAAAGAGAACGAATCGAGGCTTGAAACCGCATCTCAGTCATCGTCAGCGGAAAGAAGTCCACGCGACAAGAAGGGTCGAGATCGTGAGCGAGGTATTAAAGAACAGGAGCAAGACAGGAAACGGTTAAAGCCGTCAAGTTCAAGTAAAGAGAGACAACACCTTTCGTCGTGCAGTCAACCAGATTTGTCCTATTTGTTCGATGAGGAAAGCAATTCGTCGGATACATCTTCTTCGAAACGAATAAAGCAGAAAGCGAAGATCGTTTCCGAAGTATCTAAAGATAATTTAAGGTAAATGTGCATCCTTTTTCCCGCAAATTGTTTTTGTTTCTCTTCTCAAAGGTGTTCAGAGTTCCTGAAAGTTTTGCAACCTGAATATTAAAGCAGAAAGTGAATTTTTGTAAAAATTTTTGTAAAAATTGTCTTGTTTGGTGTGTTTGCTTTTGAAGTTTGTTGACTTTCATTCGTTCGACATCTGTTACATTTCAATAGTTTTCAATTTGTTCAGGCGACACAGTGGTACCCCAACTTCAGATAGTATGAAATCAGTGAAAGAATCTTCTGAAAAGGTGTTGAAACGCTGCGCTGAGAAACGATCTTCATCGGTTGCAAAGGCAAAGGTGATCGACGCTTGTGTTTCTCGCTGAACAGTTGTTTACTTTTCAGTGATCAATTTGCTTCATAATTTGCAGTTTTCAAATAGAATACTAGCAGTTTGTTTTGCTCTATGATTTCCTCTGTAGATTTAATTGCTGTCGAGAAGCAATATTGCAGATTATTTTTCCAGGCGATCTCAAAATCGAATGCTCTTCTGGACGATTTATTCAAAACCTTCATGGCACCACCTTCAAAATCAGGTTATTAATTCGCTTGCGATTTATAAGTCATTCTTTTGAATTTCTCAAATTTTTAAAACCACCCTCCATGTTGTCGGAGCAGATGATTTGAACGTCGCTGATAATTTCAAGGAGCATCTTCGCACAAGGACCCATCGCCACCGGTTGAACTAAAACCAAAGAAAACTGTCGCTTCGGGCGTTAACAAAAATCGTAAGAACCTGCTGATTGGTGGTGGACATTCGGCCAGAGGTAACTGTTTGCGGTCAATAGCACTTTCAGAGTTTTATTTTAATCTTACCGTAACGGATTGCATTGATTACATATGGTATGTCTTTATGACGGAATCAAAAACAATGAGTCTCATAGTCAATATTATTCAATTTAATTGAATGTTACTTGTATGTTTTCACTCATCTGCTCTAATAATATTCAAGCATTTCTAGCCAACAATATTCTTTTCCTTTCTTTTCAGTCGGTATGGTACTGGAGAAGGCAACACGCATACGTGCCAGATTTGAGCATGAAGAGCGACTTCGTAATGAGGGCAAAGGGTCGCTGAATCGAGCTTCATCGGCACATGACAGTGCACAACAGGTGCGTTTTTTTTTTGAGCCATCAGAAGTGATATTCTTATTATGAAGAATCTGAAAAAAAACTTCCATCGCCATTCGTATTATTCGACTTAATTTTGTCAATCATCTTCATAATCGAGCCAGTGGAATTCTGTGTCTAATTTATTGTTCAAGATAATAGTAAACTGCATTTTGTGGTTATTAGCATCATACTGATTTAGCATATCACTAACTGTTGATCAATGCAACATTTGATAGATCCCGCCTAGTAAATATGAGTGTAATTTCACTCGATTAATTGCTTTTGTTAAAGCCATCTTCTTCATCGTCCACTTCGAACGATCATTATGAAAATCGCAAAACCGTTGAGGGCTATTTGAAAAGTTTTGGTGGCAAACTTGGTGCTTCATCATCGAACACTCAACGGCTGGACAAGGTAAATTATTTAGTCGTGTTTGTGATGATACAGTTGTTTTTTTTTCTTGAAACTTCATAGTGGTTCTTTGGTTGGAACATTCAATGTTTCTGCCGACATTTGTCAACTGTGATGATTGTTTCTTTTGATTATTTCTATCCAGTCAGTAATGGTTCGATGTGGTTTATAATATATAGCATTCATTATTTAGTGGTCGTTGACTATTTAATACAATTTTGTTCAAGGATTCGTCGGCTTCAACGAATTCACGCAAACGTATTTTGGATTTGCCGATTCCGAAGACGATAGCGTTGGATTTGGTGGGCGAAATTCTCGCACCGAAGCAAACTCAAGTGGAGCGCTATGTGCCGACAAAACCGACTGCGCAACAGAACCAGTCAACGTTCTCGTCAACATCATCCGGAAACAGTCCGTCGATCGGTGGTCCTCCAATGGCTTCATCGTCACCGATCGCATCGATGAATTCTGCCTCTGGCGATGTCGGCGACGATACTTCCACTCGAATCAACTCAGCGTCGTACACTCCTCAGAGTCAGAGTCGTGACTTGCAACAGTCCTCAGTGGCGTTTGCTTCGACCGGCTCGGCTTCTTCATCGTCTACACCAGCCACTCCATCGAGCTTGTTGCAGTCACCTCAAGACGGGCAATCCTCCTCGAGTGCGTCTACGATTCACAACTCTCACTCTGGTACTACTGCTCCATCATGTGCATCCAAGAATGCGAACGTGATTACCTCCTCGTCTGCTACATCAGCTAGCTCGTCACCATCGTCAAGCGACTTATCCGCTTCAGCCACTCCGACCTCAACAGCAACAACTGCCAAAAAGCCGCGTTTGGATGGAAATGCGATAAGTAACGTGCTGAATGCTTTGCATAATCTACGTCGTTGATTACAGTTGTTGAAACGATTCGCAGTCGTATTTGGTAAATTAATAGTCTGATGTGAGAAGCGCGGTATATGAAATGTTGCTAGCACAAAACAGTTAGAGCTAGAAATCCGACCTGTCCTGCACTGGTTGATTCCGGGATGGGACGGACCGTTTGATATGATT